AGGGGAGACAGAGAAAAATATCGGTACCTCCACTGTCGGGCCTCTTATTCGACGTCCCGGTACACGAAGTATCGGTAGCCGAGCGTGAGGACTTTCCACTCATGCAAAACACGCAACTCACTGTAACCGATTTGTTTACTGGACGCGCGACCTTGCTGTGACGCGTTCAGGATCAGCGATTTTGATGGTTCTGAAAGAAAATCTCAGGCCTCAGAACTCCAGTGATAAAACACACACCTTCACGCAAAAACCCCTAGGACAAAGTATCTCGGATGCGGGTTCTATGCTGGTAAATTCTGAATATAACCACTGTCAACTCGAAACGAGAGGAGACCGGAGACCGGAAAGAAAACGGCAGCGAGCCCTGGTGCTGTCATGACATCTATATATTGCTAAATACATTGTAAAAAAAAGACGACATGCATGGGGGAAAAAAACGAAATACAGTTGTAAAAGGTGCCGCCGCGAAACCAACCAGTGGTTATGTAGAGGCGCCAGGTTTTAATTTCTTTGTTGTGAAAAATACTACACACAAAGGGGAAAACAACACGAGAGTAAAAATGACAAGGAAAACTTATCCTACCAGCAACAATGACGGATGCCGTGGCAGCGGCAACAACCCAAGTTAGAAACCCGGACAGGAAAAAAAAAGCAGGCGATCCAGCAGAGCTCGCTAGATTTCATCTCCACGGAGAGGCGGAGAGTAAATCAGAGTGATGAACAGCTACCTGAGGCACTGCCAGGTGGCCTCGGTCACGTGGGTTCGTGGCGTAAGGGGTAAAAGAATCTTGAGGTCATGGGGCTTCCCCTGACCTGGATTCTATCTCTCCGTCACCGGCAGAATCGCTGATTAATGCCTACAGTTCAAAATAGTCATTTTGACTGACCGGAGTCCATGGTGGGTAATTGAACGTAGTGAATAGTGCCTCAGAAATTCTAAATCAGACAGAGTCATCAAATAATTAGTGTATTTCATTCAATGGTCTACATAATATTCCCAAGTCTGAAGGAACTAACAAATGCATAAATCATCTATAACACAAGTTCATGTCAAAAACCAGATGCTAATTTACCAATCACTTAGATAAGTGAAACTTGGGATCTAAAACTTGCCCATTGTCAAAACTGTTGTGAACAACCACTTTGTCATGGGCAAAAAAAATATGGAAAATGATTGCCATGCACTTGATACAGAAATCACACTATTACATTATCCAATGTTATATTATGCTACATACATTTTTTTAACAGAAAAGCCATAGCCTAACATGATTTTACTTTGTACAAAATGACAAAGTTGACATGGGCATTCGTAGGCTGTCATGATTTGTGGCTGTGACTAAGTTTAGTCATCTGCATTTTGATATTGATACAGTGTATGGAACATCTGGTGATGACTTGGGCTCAGTTCCAGGCCTAGAAGTTGAGTAATAAACATTTTAGTTACAAGTGCTCCTCTCCAGCGTGTTATTCTCCACCCGAATTTGGTGACCAATACTCACTTGGTTCACTCTACTCTGAGAAATCAGCTTTCATTTTACAAAAAAACAAAAGTTTTATTAAACAACTCTTTCACATCTCGCTGAAAAACCAGGTATTTGTTTTAATATCTACCCTTGGATCATAAATTTTTTTTGCAGGCCAGAACTAGTGAGATTAACGATCCCTGCATATTACTTACAACTGCTGATTCACTTGATGAAATGTTTCTAATATTTCTTCACACTGGCATTCTTCGCAATCTTTACTACATCCTGGACATCTAGGTCCATCATTTTCATCTCCATCCTCCTTGTCCTCTTCGTCGTCATCATCTTCTTTTTCATCTTCATGAATCTGATGAAAAGCTAGATAAACAGACACAGTGAAAGTACTATCAACACCATAAATCCATTTTTTTGATTTTTATTAAATATACATAAATTTCATAATTCAAACTTACCCGGGTAAATGAGAGCTTTTTCTATTCAACGATGGAATTAACATTGGAACATTTATAAAAAGTTTCATTATGCACCCATTGTTGATTGGCTCGTTAGATTCAATTTAAATCTAATTATATGTACAAAAATTAGGTATCATGGTATCGGATAGTATCAAAATCTTGAACAATTTTTTTTTGTCTTTTCAATTGTTGGTAGGCCAGTGGTTAACACCTGCAAAGAATGTTCTTAAACTGTTGAAGTTCGCCAAATACAAATAGTATTTCAATGGAGGGGAGGTGATCAAAGGGCTATTTTGAGTAGGAGTCGAAGATCAATTTTTAATTTTCATAGTTGAAAAATTTGTATTTTTGTTGTTGCATTTTTAGTCTGTAAAACACATTCTACTTTCATGTACTGGGGAAGGAAGGGGAGGGTAGGAACGGGAAGGGAAGAGGGAAGAGGGATATGATCCTACCTGTAATACCTTTTGTTTTTTGGTGAACTTTTAGAACACTTCCAATAGGTTAGGGCGTGAACGGATGTTACACATTTTATTGAAATGAAATTCATCATTGGTGACTTGCAAATGATTAATGGAAGCAAGTAGTATTGAAGCAGCAAATTATCAAACCCCCTAGTTTAGGTTTAAAATAAACAGTTGATTTATTCGAGTGTTCATGATGGCATTTGACTGGCAGATATATATGGATTCTGAAATGCATGTAGCACCAGTATTTGCATTGTAAGTGAGGTCTCAATTACTATACTGAAACGCCCCATGATTTTATAATTGATATCAATTTGAGAAGCAAAATACTAACATTTTCGCCACCACTGACTAAGGTAATTTATTCTGCGAAAATGGTCATTAAAAACATTACCTACAGAAATGGGTATTCTACAGTAGCACATTTCAATTTTCTGACAAACTCTGATTTTTTTATTTCTCATTGACGAAGTAGCTAAACCTGTTTGAACTTGGCCAAGAAAAACAAAAGTAGTATTAGTCTAAGTGACTTAATCCACTTTATCCTCAGCAGAAGCCCAGTTACTGTTTTCGCCTTAGGAATGATTCAGTGAAAATAAAATCCATTGAATAAACTTTTTTTGCCCTAAATTTGTTACATCTAACTTATCAAAAATCAGTGCAAATAAATTCCATACAAAACAGCTAAAATGGTTTCAGCGAAAATTAGTTTCAACTTAAATAAAGTATTTTACAGTTTTGCTACAACACGAAGTCTCCTTATGTACTCGTAAACAAGGCAAGAGTACAAA